TCCGCCTGGTGGTGGCGCTGACCGCGGCGGCGTCGCTCTTGCTGCTGGCGGCGCTGCTGTTGGCGGCGGCGCGACGGGGCGGGCGGCGCGGGGCGGCGGCGGCGGGGGGCGGCCCGGGGCCCGAGGGCTTGTCGCGGGCCGCCTGGCGGCCGTCGGCGGCGCCGGGACGCTGTCGCGGAGCTGCGGGTATGAGGTGTGCCTGACCGGGGGCTCGGGGGCCGGCGAGTTCAAGTTCCTGAAGCCGATTGTCCCCAGCTTCCTTGCTCAAGGTGCAGAGACCGTTAGTGAGGCAAACCCCAGTTTCAGGAATAGTTTTGAATTCAGCTAAGTATTAATGTGGCTCTACTGAGCCTATTCTTGGTTAATTTGTGGAAAGCCCTTTTTTTGTTTTTGCCTTTTGCCATTGAAGCTGTGCTTTTATTCAAAAGTAACTATCTTATTCCAATTCTATGCATGTTACTGCTATTTCTATATGTATTGAACTTTTTGGTGATATAATGAGTGTAAATTTTCTTTGTATTTGGATTGTTGATTGGTCTCATTGTAGCTTAATTCAGTTTAAGGTGTGAAAGTTAACTTTATATTTTAAGAAATATTTAATTTTTAAGTTAGAACGCGTTTTTTTTCCAACCTCATGGCCTGAAGTCCCTAGTTAATTTTGAAGTCCTACCTTTGTTGTTGTTGTTTGTTTTTTTGAGTGGGAGTCTCACTCTGTCCCCCAGGCTGGAGTGCAGTGGCACAATCATGGCTGACTGCAGCCTCAAACTCTAGGGCTCAGGTAATCTTTCCACCTCAGCCTTTCTAGTAGCTGGGACTATAGGCACATGCCACCATGACCGGCTAATTTTTTCATTTTCAGTCAGGGTGAGGTCTCACTATGTTGCCCATGCTAGGCTCGAATTCTTGGGCTCAAGCAGTCCTCCCACCTCAGTCTCCCAAGGTGCTGGAATTACAAGTGTGAGTCACCATGCCCATCCTGACATCCTACATTTAAAAATATTTGTTCTTATACATGTATTATATTTTTACATCCCATAATATTTGTGTTTGTTATATCCTCTTATGCTAGCATAACTTCTATCTTGTGAACTCACATTGGCTAAATCTCTAACATAGATGCCTTTATGAATAACATAGCAAGCACATGCCTTGTATATTTCTAAATAAATGCTTTACAGACTGTCTTTACATTTGATATCAATTTATATATTTGAAAATGGCTATGCTATTAGAATTATAATATTAATTTTAAAGATTTCATTTTGAGATTAGTAGTGATATAGGACACTGTCTTGATATCAAAAGTCTCTGATCAACCAACTTATTACCTGTAGAATTTTTTGGTAAGTCAATAATTTCTGTCTTCCTTAAATGATAACAGCTATTTCAATAGGTTGCAGTTATGATCAAATAAGATAATATAAATATACCAAAAGTCTCTGGATCAACCAACTTCTGCCTCAAACGATAACAGCTATTCCAATAGGTTGCAGTTATCATATAAGATAGTCTAAAGATATAAAAGTATAATTGCTGTTATTTTTAGTATCACCAATATTAAGAGTAGACTTGCCAGGAGCAGTGGCTCAAGCCTGTAGTCCCAGCACTTTGGGAGGCCAAGGTGAGAGGATTGCCTGAGCTCAGGAGTTTGAGACCAGCCTGGGCAACTTGGTGAGACCTTGTCTCTACAATAAATCAAAAAATTAGCCAGGTGTGATGGCACACACTTGTAGTTCCAGCTACTTGGAAGACTGAGGTGGAAGGATCACCTGAACCCAGCAGGTTGAGACAGTGGTGACCATGAGCATGCCACTGCACTCCAGCCTGGGTGACAGAGTGAGACTCCAACTCAAAAAAAAAAAAAAAAAAAAAGAGTAGATTTAATAGATGAGCCAGCATGTAACACTCCTGATAAATGTAGACATACAAAAGAAGCTAGATTGAACAAATGTGTGCATTGTTTCCTTTCTCTGCCTACAACCTTGCAATTGCTTCCTTTTGTTATTAGAATAAAATCCAAGCACCCATTATTTGGCTCTGGTTTACCTTTCCAGCCTTCTATTTTCACTTACTCTTGAGACATTAAGTTTTGTGTACACTGTTCTTCCCTCACTCTTCCGGGGCCTTCATGTATTCTACAGTCTTAGCCTGCCACACTTCTACTTCATGTTCCAGATTAAATAGTGCATCTTTGGGGAAACTTTCTTAATTCCTCCCCATTAAGTTAGGTCCCTCTATTGCATACTTTCAGTGCACTTCGTATGTTTTCTATGTAGTATTTTTTCACATTGTTTGAGCATCCGTTTAAAGACTGTCCTTCTAAGATATACAGACATGACCAGGTGTGATGGTTCATGCCTATAATCCCAGCACTTTGGGAAGCTGAGGTGAGAGGATTGCCTGAACCCATGGGTTCGAGACCAACCTGAGCAACTTGGTAAGCCATCATGTCTACAATAAATCAAAAAATTAACTGATGGTGCATGCCTGTAGTTCCAGCTACTTGGAAGACTGAGGTGGAAGGATCACCTGAGACTAGAAGGTAGAGACTGCATTGGCTGTGAATACCACTGCACTTCAGTCTGAGCAATAGAGTGAAACTCCAACTCAAAAAAAAAAAAAAAGATATACATACATTGTTTATCTTGTTGCCACTATATGTCTCACTTCTACAAACTGCATAATTATCTGTGGAAGTAAGTTAATAAAGATGAAATGAATAATTGTAAAATTACTGTAAAATAAGAAGAGGAGAAAAAACTCTAAGTGTCCCCAAAGTGTGAAAACGTGGAAGAAATTAGGCATTTGCAGCCCCCTGATATAACCCCTGACATGACTATTACAACTTTTTTACCAACTTGCACAAAGTTGTCTTTTCATGGTATTTTTCTGGTATATGCAACTCATTCACATTTTGAAAAATTTAGAAAATAATGAAAAGCACAAATAGGATAGTGAAGCACGTTGTCATTTAGAGCAAACTATTTTAAAATTTGTGTGTAACGATTACAGATGTGGAGTAGTAGCCTAGTATGTGTACTTCCGCAAAATCATGTAAATAAGGACTCTACCAGAAACAATCACTCATTTTATATAAAGAGTGCATTTTACTTCTCTAGGTTATATTTATTTAACTCATATGACATGAGAAACTCCTCCAGTAGAGTCAACTGAGGTTGATAAGGAGAATAAGCGATAAAACAAAAAAACAAAAAACACCTTCTCCAAGAGTTTGAAACTGCAAGTGAACGCATGGTGGCGCTGTTGACTAAGAAGGCGAATAAAACCCCATGCTTTGTGCGTACTATGACGTACCGATCCAGTGTGGTAAGCCAGAGGTTGTGAGCCCAGCAGATTTTTAAGCAAGCAAATTTGAGCCTCTGGTAAGGATTATTCACTACGCCATCTGCAAAGGTTGTCGGGCAAAAGGCTGTGTTTTCCAGCGTTGTTTCTGGTTCAGCCTGGCGACATTCCCTGGATATGGCAGAAAATGCAATGGAGACCGGAGGGAAGCACTTTCTCAGACAAAGGCAAGTCCTTCTTCTCTTTGTTTTTCTGGGTGGGTCTCTGGCCGGGTCTGAGTCAAGACGCTATTCTGTGGCTGAGGAAAAAGACAGAGGCTTTTTAGTAGCCAACCTGGCAAAGGATCTGGGGCTGAGGGTAGAGGAACTGGCAGCGAGGAGGATCCAAGTTGTGTCCAAAGGAAATAAGCAGCATTTTCAATTCAATCATCAGACTGGTAATTTGCTTCTGAATGAGAGATTGGACCGGGAGGAGCTATGCGGCCCCACAGAGCCATGTATACTGCATTTTCAGATATTACTGCAAAACCCTTTGCAGTTTGTTACAAATGAGCTCCTGATTATAGATATAAATGATCACTCTCCGGTGTTCTTTGAAAATGAAATGCAGCTGCAAATCCTAGAAAGCACTCCGCCAGGAGCAGTAATTCCTTTGGGAAATGCTGAGGACTTGGATGTGGGAAGAAACAGTCTCCAAAACTACACGGTTGCCCCGAATATCCACTTCCATGTACTCACACGCAGTCGCAGGGACGGAAAGAAGTACCCAGAACTCGTGCTGGACAAAGCGCTGGATCGAGAGGAGCAGCCGGGGCTCAGGTTAACGCTCACCGCACTGGATGGCGGCTCTCCGCCGCGCTCTGGGACCGCCCAGGTCAACATCCTCGTCTTAGATATAAACGACAACGCCCCAGAGTTTGCTCAGTCGCTCTACGAGGTGCATATTCTAGAAAACAGCTCCGTTAACTCTGTCATTGTCACGGTCTCAGCTTCTGATTTAGATACAGGGAATTTTGGGACAGTATCGTATGCATTTTCCCATGCTTCTGAAGAAATTCGCAAAACTTTCCAACTAAATCCAATCACTGGTGATATGCAACTAGCCAAATGTTTGGATTTTGAAACGATTGATACTTATGAAGTGGACATCGAGGCCAAGGATGGCGGAGGCCTTTCGGGAAAATCTACAGTCATAGTTAAAGTGGTTGATGTAAACGACAACCCTCCAGAGCTGACCTTGTCCTCAGTAAACAGCCCCATCCCTGAGAACTCGGTAGAGACTGTGGTGGCTGTTTTCAGTGTTTCTGATATGGACTCTGGAGACAATGGAAGAGTGATGTGTTCCATCGACAACAATCTTCCCTTCACCCTGAAACCATCTGTAGAGAATTTTTACACCCTAGTGTCAGAAGCCGCGCTAGACAGAGAGAGCAGAGCCGAGTACAACGTCACCATCACCGCCACCGACCTGGGGACTCCCCCGCTGAAGACCCAGCACCACGTCACCGTGCGGGTCTCCGACGTCAACGACAACGCCCCCGCCTTCACCCAGGCCGTCTACACCCTGCTGGTCCGCGAGAACAACCGCCCCGCCCTGCACATCGGCAGCGTCAGCGCCACCGACGCGGACGCGGGCGCCAACGCCCAGGTCACCTACTCGCTGCTGCCGCCCCCCGACCCGCGGCTGGCGCCGGCCGCCCTGGTGTCCGTGAACGCCGACAGCGGCCAGCTGTTCGCGCTGCGCTCGCTGGACTACGAGGCCCTGCGCGCCTTCGAGCTCCGCGTGGGCGCCGCCGACCGCGGCTCGCCGGCGCTGAGCAGCCAGGCGCTGGTGCGCGTGCAGGTGCTGGACG